AATAAATATCTGCTCATTTCATTACTTCATTCATTTAACAGACTTTTATGGAGTGCCTCCTATGTACCAGGTAATGTCCTAGAGCTGAGTCTACAGAGGTGAGCAAAATAGACATAGTTCCTGTCCTCATGGAGCTTATGGTCCATCGTGAGAAATAAATAATAGATGCAAAACACTTAGCACTGTGCCTGGCTTTTAACAGGTGCTCAATAAATATTTTGAATTGACTGTAAATTTAATTATTGAAATTCAGTAGCATTTTGATATGCATTAATTCCTTTTTCATTAATCCCACTCTTAGGGCCTTTGCACATAATGTTCCTTCTGTTTGTGTTGTTCTTTCCGCAACTATTCACATGGCTCTCTCTCACTTCATTCATATCTGTACTCAAATGTCACTTCCTCAGAGAGGCCATTCCTAATCACCTATTAAAATAGTTCTCCTACCTCTACCACACTGGATCCTCTTATCTTGCTTTAAACCATCATGAGTTTAAAAGCCATCTATTAGTGAGAAGTATCTCTTAGATTTAGGTAAAAACTTTGTTCTAAATTCTCTACAATATTATCTTATTTTTAAAAGATAGACAGATTTGAACAGACCCTTTACAATAAAAGATATAAGAATGGCCAATAAGCACATGAAAAGATTCCCAGCATCACTAGTCATCAGGAAATTTTAAAAAGACTGATACTACTAAGCGTTGGCAAGGATGTAGAACAACTGGAACTCTCAAACACTGCTGATGGGAATGCAAAATGGTACAGCCACTTTGGAAAACACTGGCAGTTTCTCATACAGTTAAACATATACTTAGCATACAACCAGGAATCCCACTCCCAGGAATTTACTCAAGAAAACTGAAAATATATACACATATAAAGACTTGTATATGAATGTTCACAGCAGCATTATTCGTAATAGCTAAGAACTGGTAACAACCCAAATGTCCATCAACTGATAATGGATAAACAAAATGTGATATTATCCACACAGTGGAATACAATTTATCAATAAAAAGGAAAAAACTACTTATACATGCTACAACATGGATGAATCTCAAAAACATCACACTAAGTGGAAGAAGCCAGACTCAAAAGGCTACACGCTACTTGAGTCCACTTATGTGACATTCTTAAATAGACAAATTCTAGTGATAAATCAGATTGGTGGTTACCTTAGACTAGGAGTAGGGGAGTGGACGGACTACCAATCGGCAAGAGGGAATTTTTCAGAATGATGGAAATACTCCACATCTTGAGTGTGGCGGTCATTACACAACCGTATATATTTGCTAGAACTCATCAAACTATACCTTTAACGTGGGTGAATTTTATCACATGTACATTGAGCTTCAATAAAGCTGTTAAGCACAAAATTAAAAAAAATATAGCTCTATTTATATTTATATAGAAAATGACTCTATGCTCATTTCTTGTGGTGGGATTTTGATGCTTTTTATCTTCCTCTCTTTGCTTATCTAAATTTTGTAAAAATTTCCACAATAATTATGTAGTGCTTTCGTGGAGAAAAAAAAAAGCAACAATAAAATGTCATAAATATTTGTTGGGTTATTCAACAAGGAACCGATTGATTCAATATTGTTTGCTTGTAATGAAGCCCATTTGGTTTCCTTCCTTCTTCTCATCTATCTATCCTTGGTGGCACTTCTGAGGGGTGAACTGAGGAAAAGGATGCAAAAAGGTACAGAGCTTAATAGCAACGCTTTGTCCATCCAGCCCTGGGTTTGGCTCTCACTTTGCGTTCTGGATGAATACACAGTAGCCTAATGACAAGGGGGCTCTCATCCCACTTTGTCAACTCTGCCCTCCATTCCAACCCAAATCAACTCATGCGTCCTCCAAGCGCCAAGAGGAAGGCCTCAGCATAGGGCTGGGCAGATTGTGATTTGCGGGGTCCAGGCTGAGCTCCTGCCTCCAACTCATGCAGATCTGTTGGGTGCTGCATAGTCTTGGTGAAGTCAAGAGACCATTCATCAGTGGAAACCCACAGGTAGAACAACCACTTGTGCTGCATGTGGTAGCACAGGATACAGAGTCCTTCCAAAAACTGTTCTCAGGTGGGGGTACTCAGTGTCAACAGGTCTTTGGCCCTTTTTCCCCATCACACATCCAACCCATCTTTGAACTTTCTGCCCGTGAAAGGGCAGCCACCTAGGAGACCCTACCAACCCGTAAGTAGAGGATGGCTTGCTTGGAGAAGCTGTATCGTTCGCCCTTGAGTGCCTTGGGGTAGCTGTACAAGGCCTCTGACAGGACCCAGGAGTCAGGTGAGTATAATAAAGCTCCCATTATAAAAATAGTTTCATAAAAAGATCATCCTGTAGAGCAAATATACAATTTTCTAGCCACACTAATCAAGAACTGCAGCCCAGCAGAAGCTCAGGGCCACTGGGGAAAGGGAGACAATCACAACCGTCCTCAGGGCCTCTGTTTTGCCACCCATCAATGCTAACTTGGGAGAGATCCCTGGTTCCCAACCTGAGGTTCCTGTCCTCAGGGCTCACACAGGCACCACCTTCAGGAACCACTTTCAGCATCTTAAAATTGCACCCAAACCCACAAGGCTGCACTGCCTTATTATAACATCAAGTCATGCCCGTTACCATTGGGATCAACTCTCTGAATGGATAGGTAAAGAGACCTCTGACTGATTTTTAAGAAGAAATAAAAATAGAGAAATAAATGAATTGTGACTTGGTGTGGTTTTTTCAGTAGTCGCAATCTTTCAAAGCCTGGCATCTCTGGGGAAAATAAAACACAGTTGCTTTGGTGGGAAGGTTGGACACTGCTGGCTTGGGTGAGTGCCGTGGTATCCCCTGGCCATAGATGCTGTGATTTTGTGGTTCAGGAGGCCATGCAAAAGGAGAAACACATCCCAGAGGAGAAACCAGACGGTGTCTCCAAACAGATCTCGCCCAGCCACAGGGACAGGTATTTTGGGGTTGAAGTGGTCCTCTCTGGTCTATTCTTAGAGCCCGGAGTCAGAGTTCTTCACAATAAACAGCTGGGACTCTCTGGCCCATGTGACACACAACATTGATAAAACCCAACACCAAACCCATTGCCGTCAAGTCAATTCCAACTCATAGCAACCAGCACCAGAAATGAGGCCCATGGCATCAGCTAACATTGCTGATAAGACAGGATAGTATACTCTCTCCTGAGACACCTGGATCTGGTGGGGTCATGATGGATCTTAGCCACCTGCTCAGCGCACGGGCATAGATACTGTCCATAGAACAGCTCAGGCTGGAAATTATGACAGTAAAAATAGACATAGCAGACTCATTCCCAGACCCAAGAACTTGTGGGTGGAGGATCTGGTTCCATGAGTGTTTTGGTTCATTTTTAGGCAGAAAACCTTTGTATGACTCTCCAGCTGTCCTCTGTCCTATGTCCATTCTGCCTTCCTCGAAAGGCAGGATGCAGTGTGGGAAGAACACTGTCAGAAGACGGATTCTCATCCCAACCCTGCCCCTCTGTGACCTTGGTCCCTTTGAGCCTTAGTGACATTGTTTATGAAATAGCAACAATAACATCTGCTCTGTCAACCTCATTTATATGGATCAAATGAGACAGTATCTGGGAACACACTTGGAGAACATGTGGTACCATTGCTTAGGAATTTTCTCTGCCCCTATACTCCATACTTAGAATGGAGTATGCAGGCTTAAGTCATGGGGTGTCATTTAAAGAAACAATCAGAGCCTCAGAGTCACATTTTCTGTCCTGACCCCTGGAAATGTTTCTTCTTTATTCACATCATGTTTTGTATAACGGTGAAAAGCATCCATATTATTGGTGCTGTACAAGGACCAACCGAGGTGCTTCCATTTCCTCTCATCTCTTGGAGAGAAGGTGATGCAGGTGTGCTGGGTGAGGGCTGGAGTGAACCTGACATCACCTATTCCCACCCCTTTTAGGGCACACGAGTCATCCATGATGGAAAGGGGGTTAGTGTTTGTCCTTCTGGAGTTTCCAAAGGGCACCAGCTGCAGCTTTCATTGGTTGACTTCTTCCTCCCAGGGAGCAGGGAGGTAAAGCCTGGGGAAAGGCTTTGAGCTTGAAGCCTCAGTGAGCGGATGCTTCCAAAGGTGGGTCTTGTGCTTTCCCTTCCTCCTGGTCCATAAATAAATAAACAAACGCCTCCATGTGGCCTTGCAACTGCCTGTCCCATTGTAAGTTCTGCCTTGGTCTAAGCGATGGCGGTGCACCCCATCAGGGTGAGCCAGGGAGGAGAGAACCCCTCCCTCCTTCTCTAGGCTCAGATCCCAAGAGCCCAGCAAGTAGCAGCGGCGACACAGGCTCCTGAGAACTCATTCTGCAACTGCTCAGTTGTGACATCCTGTTGTAATGCTTTGGGGAGAAGAGCATGGCCCTGCACACTTCTTGGAACAAACAAGACAAACCAACACATTAGAGCTGGCAGTAGGGACACACCATGTTCTCTCCTAGGAAAAGGTCAAAGGGCTTCAGGAACAGAACATAAGGGACCCAAGGACACGGGCACAACACATCAAATGGACAGGCCAGCTTTGCTCTGTGCCACTTCTCAGCTGTCTAATTAGGATTTACACACTTCACTGTGCAGGCCCTTTTGGAGACAGTTGGGAGATGGTGAAAGCCATTGAAAGTCACTGGAGTCATCTAAGCTCAGGTGACATTTCCAGCTGAGACCTCCGGCTAGTCATGCCTTCTCTTTGAGCCTCAGCTTTCTCATCTGTAGAAGGGGGATAAGAAAATCTATTTTCAAAGGGTTGTTAGAATTAAATGAGATCATGATTGTCAAGTAGACCACACAGAAGGGCTTCAAGGAATCTAAGCTCCTTTCCCCTTGCCCTCATTTGCCTCCAACTGAGGGGACGAAGGCAACAGAGAAGACATCACTAGCAGCTGCATATAACCTTGTTTTTAAGAGGGTGACACCATCATACCCATCCGCCCTGACACCACGGGCCTGCCCTTGCTGTACCACCTCAGATATCCCAGGCTGGTATGGTGAGGGGCATGTGGGAACAGCCAGGACCCTCCGAGGTCAAGCCATGGTGGGCCACCCGCCCATTTCTCAGCGGGAGGCGGCCAGGCCTCGGGGCCCCACTGCTCGGCCTCGAATCGGAGGGCAGGCCCGAGTCGCTGGGAGGCACATCGACAACGACCCGCCTGCGCAGGAGCCCGCTGGGCCTCTGTGCGTAGGCCTCCTTGTGGCTCCCCCACTGCAGTGGGCAGAGCTGGGCGCCGAAGGCGGCCCGAAAGCCGCGGCGGAAGTTCTCATTGAAGTAGCCGTAGATGATGGGGTTGGCACTGCTGTTGAAGAAGGCCAGCCAGTGGGCGAAGGGGAAGGCGTAGACGGTGACCAGGTGCAACTGCGGCTCGCTGAGCTGCGCGTAGTCGATGAGGAGCAGCAGCGCCCACAGCGGCAGCCAGGACAGCGTGAAGAACAGCGCCACCATGACCAGCATGTGCACCACCCGGGCCTTGCGCCTGGACGCCCGCCGGCCCTCCACGGCCGCCTTCTCGCCGTCCCGGGCAGGGCCTGAGGCCTTGAAGAGCTTGCGGGCGATGCGGGCATACATGACCACGATGAGGGTGAGGGGCGCCAAGTAGACGTGCGAGAAGAGCACGGTGGTGTAGACCGTGCGCATGCCCTTGTCGGGCCACGCCTCCCAGCACGAGTAGAGCGGGTAGGAGCGGTTCCGGGCGTCCACCATGAAGTGGTGCTCCTCGCGGGTGACCGTCAGCGTGACGGCCGAGGGGCACATGATGAGCAGGGCCAGGGCCCAGATGACCGCGATGGTGACCAGCGCCTGCTGCAGGGTCAGCTTGTCGCGGAAAGGGTGCACGATGCAGCGGAACCTGCGGCCACAGAGGAAAGAGAAGCGGGTGACGGGGGACCTCACTGTTAAGTCATCACAGTAAAGACAAGACTTTCCATCCATCATCGCACCTATTCTTCATTGGGCCCAAGGCTGCGTCGCAGAACAGGTCAGACATTCATTAGTTAGTTTGCAAACAAATTGCTTTCTCACCTGGGAGGGAGTCAGCTCCTTGAGTAGTCAAGAAAGGAAGGCACAAACAGGATATAGAAGAGAAAAACCAAACCCGTTGCCTTCGAGTTGATTCCAACGCATAAATACGACCCTATAGGACAGAGTAAAACTGCCCCACAGGGTTTCCGAGAGAAGGGGAGGAAAAAACTGCAGACAGTGTGGGAACAGTGAATCCTGCCCATGCACTTCTTGGGGTACACTGATTAGCTGGCAGCTCACAGAATAAGCATTCTGTCCTTGAGTGGTACGATTACGTGTATCAGAGGACACAATTTTAGGTGTTTATGGGTCCTCCAGAAAAACCTGGGCATCCAGGTGTGGGGCCTGCAGTGACCGATTGTCTGACGTCAAGTTGGCCAGTGTACTTCCATCGGCAACCCCACTGAAGTAGGACGCCTCTGTCCCATTTCCTCATTAGAACGTCTCGGCAGCAATTATTATTACACTCTTATTTTACAGATAGGTCCCTGGGTAGTGGAAACAGTTTGTGCTGGGCTACTAACCAAAACGTTGGCAGTTTGAATGCACCCAGCCATAGTGTGGAAGAAAGGCATGGCAATCTACTTCTGTAAGATTGTTGTTGCTGTTAGCTGCCGTCGAGTCAGCCCCAACTTACGGCAACCCCGTGCACATCAGAACAAAATGCTCCCTGGTGCCATTAAAAAGGAATGGAGTACTGACACATGCTACGGCATGAATAAACCTTAAAAACATTAGTCTGAGTGAAAGAAGCCAGACACAAAAGGTCATATATTGTAAAACTTCATTTATATGAAATATCCAGAATAGGCAAATCCATAGAGACAGAAAGTAGAATAGTGGTCACCAGGGGCTTGCAGCTGGGGAGAGTGGGGAGTGACTGCTAATATGGGTACAGGTTTCTTTTCTGGAATTAGATAGTGGTAATGGTCGTACAACTTTGTGAATATATTAAGAACCACTGAATTGTATACTTTTAAAGTGTGAATGTTATGGTATGTGAATTATATCTCAATAAAGAAAATCCATCAGTGGGAAAAAAAAATGCTTCCTGGTCCTGCATCACCCCCGTGATTGGGGATCGAACCATTGTGAACCATAGGGTTTCCATTAGCTGACTTTTGAAAGTAGATCACCAGGTCTTTCTTCCTAGTCTTAGTCTGGAAGCTCCGCTGAAACCTGTTCAGCATTATAGCAACATGCAAGCCTCCACTGACAGATGAGTGGTACCTGCGCATGAGGTGCATTGACCCAGAATTGAACCCAGGTCTCTCGCATGGAAGGTGAGAATTCTACCACTGAATTACCAAAGCCCCATTCCGGATTACAGCCGTCGATAACCCCATGGAGTGCAGTTTTACTCTGACACAAAAGAGCACCATGAGTTGGAATAGACTCGATGGCAATGGGCTTCTTTTACTTTACTGATGAAGAAACTGGGGCTCAGAGGTGTTCAGCAACCAGCTCAAGGTCACACAGCTAGCAAGTTAGCAAGGAGCAGCCTTGAACCCAACCTGTCTTGCTCCACTATACTGCACATCAGAGTCCCCTAAAGCATTTTAAAAAATATCTGTGCCCAGTTTTCATGGCCAAACTTTCAGTCTAGTTAGTCTGGAAAGAGGTTTTGAGCACTTTTTTTTTTTTTTTAAGCTCCTTGGGTGCCAGAGTTGAGAACTGCTGATGGAGGAAGAGGAGGAAAAAGAGGAGGAGGAGGAGGAAGCCTCACCCCTACCTGTGGTTCAAAGGCAACTGCTCAAGTGCAAGCTCTTTGAAGGTAGGGCTATGTCTTTTCATCTCAGTATTCCCAGAGTTTGTTAAATAAACGTGTGAATGAGTGACCAGAATGGCAATTTACTTAAGATCCTTCTGAGCCTCAGTTTCCTCATTTGTAAAGTGGGGTCAATAACATTACCTACTCTATAGGGTTTCCGTGAAGATTGAGATTACACTTCGCATGCTTCTGGAGACATGATGAATGCTTAATAATGAGAACAAGGAGGGGCGCCTACTTCCTAGGGTGTCTTCTCCTATCTACTGATACCAAAAATGGGGACCTTAGGACTGTGTGGTCAAGCTGTTTAACAGAGAGCAACCTGGCCCAGAGAAGGGAAGGGAGTTAAAACGCCACAGGGTTAAGGGTACAGCCTGCACCAGAACACAGGCGTAGAGCTGACTCCCAGCAGAGTGCTCTTTCTACCTCACCAAACTGTCCTGCCTCGTGTATATGTTCTGCCTACCCACTCTTTCCCCTGTCTGACCTTTTACCTCTCCCATGGCCTGACTCAAGCTTTGCTGTCTCAACCTGTATGACTTTGACCTACTGGCTTCATAGCATCGCACACTCAACAAATTGTCAGAGAACAAAGGATTCTTAACGTACATAGTACTGACTGTAAATGCAATAGCAGTTAGTGGGTAGAGGAGAATAACACGGTCTGCATAGTCCAGGAAGGCTTCCTGGAGGAGGTGGGAATCAAAAGATACTGCAGCTACCACTGGGAGAGGTTGCATGTTCACATAAACTTGATAATGATAGTGAAACAAAGGTCTGTGAGAAGAAGGGACTTCCCCAATCACCTAGCTACTTAGTGGCCTTGCAGAGACAGGAGCCCCGTTCCATCGCTCCAGCTCCAGCTGCCTACTTCACTGGATTACAAAAGATCAGGTTTGATAGGGGCAGAGGTGGAGAGGGGATGAGAACACTAGAGTCTAGAAAGGTAAGAGCTAAGAAGTGCCTATGTCGGGGAGAGGAAGACAAAGAAGAAGTGTGGGTATAAGAAAGAAAGAAAATATGAACAGCTGATATTTGTACTCTGTGCTGGGTACTGTGCATAAGCTTTACATGCAGAAGCTCACTGAGTCTTCCCAACCACTCTGTAGGGTATTTACTATCCTTCCATTTTACAGATGAGAAAACAAGGCTCAGAGTAGTTAAGTGACTGACCCAAGGTCACACAGCTAGGCAGTGGTGGGGCAGATCTGAAGATGAAGAGGACAAAACCCACCTGCAGCCTGCTTGCCTGCCTCCTACCGCCTCCCCTGCACCCTGGGAGAAAGCACCCAGAGGGAGCCCTTACACCACTAATCCCACTGGGAAGGAGAGGACTTACTGCACTGGCTCAGTGCTTTATTGTTTGCAAAGCCTCCTTGGCCCCTGGATCTGTTCCTTACCTCTGGCCACATTTCAGACCAATACTTATCAGACAATCTGATAGAATCTGAGGCTTGAAGGAGCAGAAGTGGCTGGAGATGGGGTGGAGATGGGGAGCGAGGCCTGGACTATCGGGACCAGCAAGGAGGAGTGAAGGAGCAGGGAGAAACTCTTTCTTCCCAGCGGTATGAGATCATGGCAGGATACCTGACCCTCAGGAAACAAGTACTGACCACTAACTCCTCACAGGCCCCAAGAATCCCCATTAAGCCTCCTCAGGAGCTGCCCCTCTGCCTTCTGGAGGGAGGTGGTTGTGTCCTCTTCACCTCCTCAAGCCTAGAGGGCAGCCTGCCTGACAGCCCTCCCCTTTATGGCTCAGGATTCAGCCCCCACCTACTGGTAGAGCAGCATAGGCTTCCAGCCAGTCCAGTAGAGGAGATAGTGGTTCCTCCTAGGGCCTGGGCCACAGTCAACCCAGGATAACCCAGCAGGAAACTTCTCACCTTTCCACAGCAATGGCCACCAGGGTGAAAACAGAGGCTGACACGGACATGCCCTGCACCAAGCCACTCATCTTGCACATGGTATTGTCGAAGGGCCACCCTGCAATGACAGAGACCACCACAGAGTGAGAGATGGCCCACCCATAAACAGCCAAAGACCTCCAGGCCATCTAAGCCAGGTCCCACCTGAGGCTTGGATCTTTCCACCATGTCCTGCTAGGTGGTCATCCAGCTTGTGCTTGCACACCTCCAGGAATGGGGAACTCACCACATTATTAGCAGCCCATACCACCATGGACACTTCTGACTATTAGAGAGACATTCTTTATATTGACCAAAGTGTATCTCCTTATGATTTCTCTCCATGAGCTTTAGATCAATCTAGCCCTGCCCAGCTTTCTGCTCCCATAGCCCTTCCCCTGGTTCTAGGCCACCAAGTCAAGTCAAGTCAGTCCCGATTCACAGTGAGTCTATAGGACAGAGTAGAACTGTCCCATAGGGTTTTCAAGGCTGCAAATCTTTACAGAAGCAGACTGCCACATCTTTCTCCTGAGGAGTGGCTGGTGGGTTTGAACTGCCGACCTTTTAGTTAGCACCTGAGCACTTAACCACTGCACCAACAGGGCTCCTCGGTTCTAGGCCAGTGGTTCTCAGATCTGGCTGCACAAATCACCTGGGGGAGCTTTGAAAAGAACCAATACGCAGGCCTAAGCCAGAACAATTACAATCAGAATCTCCAGGGGTGGGACCCAGATATTAGTATTTTTGAAATTTACCCTGGGGATTCAAGTGGCAGCCAAAGTTGAGAACCGCTAGAGCAAACTAATCCTGACTCCCAGGCAGGCAGAGTTCTCAGCAGCTCCAGCCCATCTTCCTACCTGGTATCCTCATTCTGATCCCTGGGCTTCTGCTTTGTCATGAGACCTGGCACAGGGAGGTTAGTGTACTCAGCATCTCTTTGCCCCTGTGGATTCCTGGTGAGAGTCAGGTCTGGGTGCTGGGCAGTTTAAGTATCATGGAAAGTCAGTACCACTGTACAGAGCAGACTATTTTGGAAAACTGGGTATGTACAAGTTCTCTGACCCAGCAAGTCCACTCCTAGGTTTATATCCGAAAGACATTCCCCCAAGGTTGATAAAGCTGTTCACTACAATGTTATTTACAATGATGGGGAGTTGGAGGCAGTGGTGTGCTAAGCCAGCTCAGGGGGAAAAAGGCCCTCATTTGTAGCATTTGCCCATTTTTGTGGTGTAAATCTCCCTACATGGCCAATTTTAAACTACCAGTATAGTGTCACTGAGCACAAAGTTGGGGAGAAATGTGCACAATCCGCCCTCACAGTTGGCACAATCAGCCAACTCTACCACACCACTGGATGAAGGCTACCCAGGTGACTTTCCCTGGGAGATTAGAGGGAAAATGTGGTGGACATGCACCATGGAGTACCAGGCAGCAGTTAGGAGAAGCACATTAGATGTACACGTGGCAACATAGATCGAATGCTTAACAACAAAAGTAAGAACTAGAATGAGATTTATAACATGAAACCACTTAATTACATTAACGATATATCCACAAGAATAGCCAGAAAAATCTTGAAACAGAAAAACTATTTGTTGGGGGGAGGGCACAGCCCCACCAGACATTAAAATATACTATAAAACTTCTATAATTAAAACAGTATGGTACTGGCACAGGAGTAGACAGATAGACCAGCAGAATAAGGTAGCCCAACAATAGACTCAAGTACAATAGATATTTAGTATATGATAAAAGTGGCATCTCAAATCACTATGGCAAAGACTGAATTTTTAATAAAAGGTACTTGGTCAACGAGATAGCCATTTGGAAATGTATAAATTAGAACCATATATACACCATATGGAAGAATAAACTCCAGGTGAACTAGAGATCTAAACGTAAAAAAAAACAAAAAACAAAAATGAAGCTGTACAAGCACTAGAAAAAAACATGGGTAAATTCTTCTTTAACCTATGTGTAGAGAAAGACTGTCTCATTATGTTTCAAAATCCAGAGGCAAAAAATAAATAAAGACTGAAATTTGACTATATAAATTTTAATTGCCTAGCAAAAATTTTTATAAACAAGGTCAAAAGGCAATTGACAACCAGAGAGAAAATATGTGCAACATGTTTCACAGGCAAGGTGCTATTATCCTTAATATATAAAGAACTCTTAACAAAAATTGAGGGACAAATCTATGAGGTTGAATTCAACCTCTGAGGGCCTGTTCTGCCATTTCTTTTTTCATCTCAAGTTGACGCGGTATTTATTTTTGATATTTCTCATTTCCTGTTTTTTTTTAATTTTTAATTTTTGTAGTTTAAATGAAGTTTACATTTCAAGTTAGTCTCCCATACAAAAATTTATACATATTTTGTTATGAGACCCTAATTGCTCTCTCCATACTGTGACAGCACACTCCTCCTTTCCACCCCTGATTTCCCATGTCCATTCAACCAGCTGCTAACCCTCTCTGCCTTCCCATCTCACCTCCGGACAGAAGCTACTGTTTAGTTTCTTGTATCTACTTGAGCTAAGAGGGACACTCCTCACAAGTATCACTTTATGTCCCACAGTTCAGTCTCTTTCTCATTTTCTAACAAATACATTTGAGGCTGGAAAAAAAAATTGAGGGTCAAAGGATTAAAAACCTAATAGAAGAATGGAAAAAATACATAAACAGTTTACAGAATGTTTTAAAATGGCCCTTAAACATATGAAAAAGTGTTTGAATCTCATTCATAATTAGAAAAATGAAAAATTAAAACAACACTGAGATACCATTTCTCATTTACCTCATTAATAGAAATGAAAAGTATGCCACACATTCCGTTGACAAAGCTATAGAGAAATAAGCACTCTCAGACATTGCTGGTGGGAATGCAAGCGGATAAGCCCTTCTGGAGGGGAATTTGACAATATCTAACAATACTATGTATACGCTTACCTTTTGATCTAGCAATCTAATGCTGGTAATCTACCCTGAACATACACCTCCAACAATATAAAATACATGTGCACAAGGTTATTAACTGCAGCACTGTTATAATTACAAAATACTGGAAACAACCTAAATGCCCATATGAATGAGTGGTTAACTATGGTATATCCATACAATGGGGGACTATGATAGGTGTGAAAAAGAATGAAGAAGGTCTCTATGAACTGATACGTAGTGATTTCCAGGAAATATTACTAAGTGCAAAAAGTGGCTTAGTATACTACCCTTCATATCAGAAAGAAGAAGATATAAGAAAATATATACTTATTTGCTCATATGTACAAAGGAAATACAGGAAGTATAAATCAGAATGGTGTCCTGGTTGCTCAGTGGTTAAGAGCTCAGCTGCTAACCAAAAGGTCGGCAGTTGGAATCCACCAGCTGCTCCTTGGAAACCCTACGGGGCAGTTCTACTCTGAGTTGCTATGAGTTGGAATTGATTGGATGGCAATGGGTTTAGTTTTTTTGGTATAAATCAGAAATGAACAGGATTGGTTACCTATGGGGGATGAGAACAGACAGAAATAATGGAGGCATTGGTTAGTAGAGATGATAGGGAAGTATGTACAGCTCTGACTTTTAGAACTGCGGAAATGTTTCACATACTCCAAAAAATAAATAATTAAAATCTAACCCAGCTGTGGGCTAAACCCAAAGTGGAATACAAATAATAATAAATGAACCTAAATGTATTACAAATGAATAATATATAACCTCATTGAAGGTGATAGGGAAGAAGGCAACTAACCTAAGTAACTTTGAAAAACAGTATTTGGACTGTATACTATAAGGCTAAAGACAAAAGAACTATACACAAATATGGTAGTCTCATTAATAAATTTCTCACAGGAGTGTGGGCTAGCAATACAGAAACTACCTTATGTGTATACTAAGATTGAATAAACCAGTAAATACGTTATAGATAAAGAGAAAGAAATTACAAATAAGGAAAAGGGGAAGCTACAATAAATCCTGTGGTGTTGGATTGGAATCAGAAGTATCAGTATGAACTTATGGTTTTCAATATACATATAGGTGGGTAGATACAGAAATAACTAAAGATATGTATGTTAAATATGTATGTGTTAAACCAAAAAATCAAACCCATTGCTGTCGAGTTGATTCTGACTCATAGCGACCCTATGGGACAGGACAGGTAGAACTGCCCCATAGGGTTTCCAAGGAGTGGCTGGTGGATTCGAACTGCCGACCTTTTGGTTAGCAGCTGAGCTCTTAACCACTGTGCCACCAGGGCTCCACGTATGTGTTAGTATACATATATTTCCTAGCTCTGTCCCTTGAGAGGGTGTACAAGTAATGTCACCCCAGTAGCAATGAATATACCTAGTGGCCAGGTCTTGGTTTCTAAATACAATTCTCCAATTAAAGGAAACAAGCCTTCCTAGAGAAATGATTGATTCCAGGCTGGAACAGGGAAAACATAAGATGAACCTGGAACATTGTGTGGTGCCAGAAAATAAGGAAATACAAAACAAAATCATGACAGCATGTTGAAAGGACACAGGAGTCAACTTGAAAAAGCTTCCAGTAGCCAAAGCTGGAGCAATTTAAACAACTAAAATAAACAATGATAGCATTGGATTATAACACACAGAACAGAATTCCAGTCAATAAATGTTGAAGGAATGGTGTAAATAGAAAATTGTCATTGAGGAAACACCACAGTAATAGTTGTTGCAGGCAGGAACCATCAATGGATGCTAAAATTGGTGGGCAAAAGTATGATGAGAAAGAGGACATTTGCATAGTCTCAAAGTATCTCCCTAGAAGATGCTTACTAATTATAAAGGGGAAAATCATCAGTAGCTTTAAAGTGGAAAAGACTGGCAGACACCACCTTAACCAAGGGACCAAAGTCAACATCATCATTAATACATACAGACATCGTGTGCCTCCTCAACATCTCTTCTGTAGTATTCTTGACAAAAATGCATGAACTCAAACCTAATTAGGGACAACACCAAGCAAACCTAAATTGCAGGACATTCTACGAAATAACTGATCAGCACTCTTCAAACTTGTCAAGGTCACAAAAGACAAAGAAAGATCTGTCGCACTGGGGGAAACTAGAGAAACAGAACAACTGAACACCATCTGGAGCCCAGACTGGATCCAGGACTAGATGTTTGTGGGGAAATTAGTGAAATTTAATTAAGGCCTGCAGATTAGTTAATAGTACCACATCAACATTAACCTTCTAGATTCGATCATTGTGTTATGGTTATTCCGGATATTAACATTAGAGGAAGATTGGTGAAGAGTATACAGAAACACTGTGTACCATTTTTGCAACTTTTCTGTAAGTCCAGAATTATTTCAAAATAAAAAGTAAAACAGAAAACAAAACCCCACCAGATTCAAAGGGTTGCCTACTGTATGATTCCATTTAAACGACATTCTTGCAAATGCAAAAGTATAGGACAGAAAACAGGTCGGTGGTGACAGGGGCTGAGGGCAGAGACAGGGATTGATTAAAAGGGACACCGGGGAGTTTTTTGGGGTGATGAAGTTGGTCCACATCTTAATTGTCTTTGTAGTTACATGACTGTATATGTCAAGTCTTGGGGAACTGTACACTAAAAAGGGTGGATTTCATTGTATGTAAAATTATACTTTAAAAATATTTAAATGTCACACCTGTACGCACTATGCACATTTTGTAAAAATGCATACAAACAAAAAGCAACACATTGAATAGAATGGAATGGCTTCCTAACGAATCAGGGAAGGGGAATTCCCGTGGGACGGGGGTGGGGGGGAGGGTAGAAGGGGATGAATAAATAAACAAAAATAAACAAGGGGCTTTGCAACAGATCGAAGTTATATAGTGCCATGAGGTGTGGACGTGAATAATTCAGCCCTCTGCACCTAAGTTCGAAAAAAGAAAAGCTCTATGAGGTTTTGTTTTATTGCAAAAGATTCTATTAGAAACAACCTAAATATCCGTCAAAAAGAGGTTGGTTAAATAAATTATAGTACATCCATATAATGGAATTCTAAGCAGTTGTAAAAAGAATGAGAAAGCTCTTTTATTTATTACTATGGAAAACTCCATGATATATTTTTAAGTGGAAAAAAAAGTGAAGGTGCAGAACTGACTGGAAAGTCAGCATTTCCTTAATTTGCTTGCACTTGCATAGAATGTTTTTGGAAAGTGACACAAGAAACTTTGCAATGTTGGTTGCCTCCCAGGAGAGGAGCTGGGAGGTGAGACAACAGCGGTGGAAGGAAGATTTTTCACTGTTGGTAACTCTTGACTGTTGAACCATGTGAATGGTTTACCTGTTCAAACAATTTTTAAAATTTAGTAGTGTGAAAAGGACTGGGAATCAGAGACCTTGCCATATCCCTGTTGACGGGTGTATGTGTGTATCTGAGTGTACACCTGTACGTGTGTGCATGTGTGTGTCTGCATGTGTGTGTGCCTATTCACGTATATGTGTGCATCTCTGCATGTGTGTATGTGCTGGGGAGAAGGATGCACAGTTTATATTCAGCAGCCCTGAAAGCTGATCCAGCAATGAGAAGTTTCCACCAGGCAGAGCCAGTAGAGCTGAGGGGAAGAGACTCTGCCCTGGGCACACTTCCTGGGTCCTGGAACCTACAGAAAGACAGGCCACAGCTCCCCGTGCCCTGATTCAGGTAAATCACTCCAAATGGGGCTGTCCACCTGAATAACACCAACACGCAGGGTCCCCCTGTTTCATACAAGATTGCAGCAGCAGCGGACCAGCCGTCTCCTGTATAGACCCACGGCCTATTGCTCAAGCAAGACAAATCCTTAATGGAAAATGTAAACAGTAATTGAACTGGTAAGACATTAGAAGAAAATATCCAGACCCCTTCCTGCCTAGTTCAGCACATATGTCGTCTTCTGAAGCTCATAATCAGACAGGCCATGTCCAGGTTCAGCTGCTGGGACCTCTGAGCTCAAAGCCTGCAGGCTCGGGCCTCTAGGGGTCTCCAAAGCTCTGGAAACAGTCCCTCCCACCCAGAGTCTCAGGGTCTGCGGAGCTCTGATTCTGAAGCGTGAAAGTCACCGGGGAGAGAGTAGATGGCAGTGAGGTCGTTCTGACATTTCCAGGATGCTCAGGCAGGTATTTAGAGGTCAGGTGGTCTAGTGCTGCTTGAATCCCTGCTACCAAATCCCTTTTAAGTGGCTGGCCAATCCCTACTTGAACATTCCTGTGAGAGCGAGCTACAGGGCAAGACACTCTTTTGCTGAACAGCTCAAATAGTGAATTTTTAAGTCCTCATCCACAGGAAATCTGCCTCCCTACCACTCCTTCCCACTGGTTCTAGTTCTGTCCGTGGGAGCTACATGGGAGAGTGAGACCGTATGGTGCAGTGGTTAGGAGCACGGGTGTGAGAATGTGGACCTTGGCACTTACTAGCTGTGTAACTACGAACCAGTACCTGAACCAACCTGAGCCTCAGTTTCCTCATCCATAAAATGGGGATAATTATAAAACCTACTTCACTGAATTGTGGTGAGGCTTAATTAAGACAATACATGAAGAGTACTTAACAGATTGCCTGGCACAAAGAAAATGATTAATTCACAGTATCTATTATTTCTGGAGCCCTGGTGGCACAGTGCTTAAGAGCTTGGCTGCTAACCAAAAGATCAGCAGTTCAAATCTACCAGGCACTACTTGGGAGCCCTATGGGGCAGTTCTACTCTGTCCTATAGGGTTGCTATGCGTTAGAATTGACTCAATGGCAAGGGGTTTGTTATTTCTAGTCTAATCCCTCTGCCACAAAACTGTCCTAAGAGCTTGAGACAATGGCATCTTAGCCAAGAGACAAGCCCTGCAATGATTTCTGTCTTCTGAGCTCCCATTTCAGGCCTTGCCTGTGGGAACAGGGAGACAGCCCCCCGTCCACCGCACACACTCACCAGTGATGAGGTTGTCCACAAGAGTGGTGGGCATGCAGAAGATGCCCACCAGCAGGTCGCTGACGGCCAGGTTGAGGATGAACATGTTGGTGACAGTGCGCATGTGCCGATTCTTGAGCACAGTGAAGCAGACCAAGGCGTTGCCCACCATGCAGAGGAGGAAGATGAGCAGGTAGGCCACAATGAACATGGCCGCCACTGGCAAGGAGTGCTGGTAGTAGGAAAAGAAGGTGAGGTTTGCGGCCGGGGCAGCCTCAGCACCACTTCCATTCTGGCTTTCAGGCCAGCTGCCATTGGGAGGCTGGGAGGGCTTCCCTAGGACCGAAGGAGCAATGGGTCAGGACCCCAGTCAAAAGGGGAGATAACTGACTACTCACCACTGGTGAGATCCTTCTATGTCCCAAACCCTGACCATGCCCTACTACCCTGGTCATGTGTCCACTTGCAACTGGATGCACTGATTCAAAACTTTCAACACTGACCACTCAAGCCCTCATCTCATACCTCCAACCCTACCTTGTCTATTCCCCAAAGTAGTTTATTCTCAATTTGCATTGCCGCCCCCATCTAGCCTCCATCCTTCTCAGCCCCACCCTGGGCCACAGAGGCTGGCCTCAAAGGACTCGCATCATCCAAGTTCCCTTGACCTCTGACATCTGGCTGGTTTTGGCCAATGGAAGGCACTGAAGGAGATCAAAGGGCGGCAGAAGAGAGACGTCAGGGATTTATTTTCCTGACTCACACCTTGCCTGGCCCGGATTTTGCCAATGGCTGCTTTTCTCTAAAGCCACAGCTCCTGTTGGGGGACCTCTCTTCCTTGGTAGCTCTTGATACACTACTGTTACACTATTCCCTCTCCTCGCCCCAACAGGCCTACAGGTGGCAAGGCTGCCTGTGGTTGCTAATCTTTGGGTGTTTCACCATCCCTTGCTGGTTCCTCTCAGCCCTTCCCTCACCTCTATGAAGTCCCTCCGTTAAATTCTCTTCAGTTAAACCCTTTCTGAGTGTGCCACCTATTTTCTTCTGGGACCTTGACTACACTACACTCAAAATCTTTGGTATTCCTTCTCACCATCGCCTCCATAGAACTTTAGCTGGGAAAGGCAAGAAGGCAATCGAGAAGGGGAGAAGGAAAGGATAATCTGAACCAGGGCTAAGGAGCAGAGGGACACATGAAATTCACCAGAAGAACAACCAAAGGCAAGGCTATCACCCGTCCTTCCCCTCCTCCTATCTTGGTGATCAGCTGCTTCATTTGCATCGCATTTAACAAAGCCTTTCTATACTTATCCATCACCCATCTGTCAGTCTGTCATACTGTGGTGGCTTGCATGTTGCTATAACACTGGGAGCTATGCCACCAGTATTTCAAATACCAGCAGGATCACCCATGGTGGTGTAACCTGACCCTACAAATGCCAGGAAATTTCCATTAATCCTGAAACTAGCCCAAGCCAGGTTTGGCCAGCCCTGCACGTGCAGAAGGGCCAGCTGTGACCATTAACTGACCTCAACAGAGGACGCAGCAACAGGTGGAATGAATCAGAAGAAAAATCATCACCCGGACCCCATTCCAAAGCGAGAGGTCCGAAAGAACCACATCGCCTCTTGTTTCCTGGCTGCTACCATTCCTGCAGCATCTTCCTTCTAGAATTTTCCCTCCCCAGTACACTTGGGTGGCTGCCATCTTGCTGTCCAAACCACATATAAGCCCTGCTTTCCCATAGCTGGGGAGTCGGATCTCAGGAACTTCCTCTTGGCTCCTTGGTCTGCACATTGCAACAAAGTTACTTTCTCTTTTTCAAAGACCAGTGTACAGATTATTCGCAAGTCTGAGAGCGCTGAACAAGGACCCACCTTCCCAGGTTTGCCAACAGTGGGCAGCCTCCAGACTAGGATAGACTAGGAAGAAAGGCCTAGTGACCCACTTCTGAAAATTAGACGATGAAAACCTTATGGATCACAACAGAATACTGTCTGATACACTGCCGGAAGAGAGCCCCCTAGGCTGGAAGACAATCAAAATACACAGTGGCTGCAACAATGGACTTGAACATACCAATGATCATGAAGATGGCGTGGGACCGGGCAATGTTTCGTTCTGTTATGTATAAGGTTGCCATGACTCGGAGCTGACTTGAGGGCAACTAACAACAACAACAACATCCATTCTTATTATATCATTTAACTCTCCCAGCCATCCCATGAAAGTCAGTACTAGCCCCATTTGAATTGGGAGACCTGGGACAGAGAGGCCCAGTGATTTGATCAAGGTCAGACAGCGAGTATGCCGCAGAGCTGGCTCTGCTCTGTGAGCTGGTCTAGGTGTCTCTGAGTCAGCCCCAGGCTTTGGTGTGTGTTTCCCCAGCCATGTTTCGAAGGGAGCAGCTCAGTGTCCAATCCCAGCTCTTCTGGGAAGTCATTAGATGTGGTGACTCATGATGTTGTCTCATAAACTCTCCTCCTGCCATCCTCTGGGACTGAATGTGGCCCATTCCGGGGGATGAAGAGTCTTTGGGGAGTCTTCTTCTGTCGCATCCATAACTCAGCCACTGTCCTGGAGACCGGCCGGAGGCTGGGGACCTGGAGGCTACACAGACCCTGGGGGGATCTGGCACAGTGAGGGCTGCAGGGACCAGCAGGTGCAGCAGCCAAGCTCTCTGGTGAGAGCAGAGGACCTTCTGGTGGAGGTGGAGAAGCGGGAGCCCTGTGCATGGTAAGAGAGGGAGATAAGACTCCCCTGCTTAAGCCTGCCAGGGGCTTCCAACTGCACTCAAACATTTTTTATTGTTTTATGTGGTAAAAATATATACCACAAAACATTTACCAATTCAACATTTTTTCCATGTACATTTCAGTCACATTGATTGCATTCATGTTGTGCAACCGTCACCACTATCCATTTCCAACATTTTTATTTTAATATAGAAAATGTCAGACATATACAAAGGAGCATCATAAAGATATCATAAAGGGGATTCATTTTTTTTTTTAAATATTGGTGTGTTAGAGCCAGGATTCAAACAAGATTTATGTTTCTATTGTCTATTACTATATAACAAACCATCCCAAAATTTAGCGGCTTGGCACTGTAGCTTGGAAATCTGGGTGGTCCTTCTGCAGGTCTCTCTAGGGTCACTCATGTGGCTGTGGTCATCTGATGGCTCAACTAGGGCTAGAAGGTCCAACTTGACCTCACTCACATGGCTGGTGGTTACTACGGGCTATTGGCTTGGTGTCTTGGTTGTCCTCCATGTGGCCTGTCCTCCTTCAGGAGTCTAGACTGGGCTTCTTCACAGCATGGTGGTCTCAGGGTTCCAAGGGAACAAGAGAAGAAGCTACAAGGCTTCTTAAGACCTAGGCTCTGGAACTTGCACAACATCACTTCCGCCACGTTCTGTTGCCCAAAGAAAGTCATACTGTCAGCTTTGATTTAAGGAGGTGGAGAAATAGATTTCACCTCTTGATAGAAGGAGCAGCAACATTACATTGCAAGAGGGGTGTGGACACAGGGAAGCATGATTCATTAGGGTCCATTATTATAACAATCTACCACCATCCCCACCTTGATTTGGTTGATGTGGCTCTTAAGTCTCCTTTAGTTTACAAGTTCCCCTTCCATCTGCCCCCGTCTCCTGCAGTTTGTTTGTCATATACGACTATTACTACCAGTTTCCATTGAGTCAGCTCCAACTCATGGCAATCCCCTGTGTGTCAGAGTAGAAGTGTGCTCCATGGGGTTTTCAATGGCCTTTCTTCCAAGGCATATTAACTGTTTGCAGTGACTCCATTTGTCACAGGGACTGGGTCATTTGCCTACAGTTTTCCACAAACTGGATTTTGCTAATTGCTTGTCTGTGATGTCATTTAACATGTTCTTCGATTCAGCCCCTGTATTTCCTGTAATTGGTGGGTTAGACCCAGAGGTTTGGTTAGATTCAGATTAGATCCGGGGATAAGGGTGCTTCATATATAGTGTTGTGTTCTACCTACACTTGAGCCAGCAGGCACATGTCTGACAGTGTCTTTTTGTGATGCTAAGCTTCATCAGTGGGCTCAGCTTGATCCCTCCATTCTAAAGTTCCTCATCAGCTTTTGACCTAATGTTTCCAGCAGTCACTGATGGTCATTGATACCCCTTACTTCAATACAATCCAAACTCTTTATCTTCGCCCCCAAAACGATGCATGGTCCCATCCCTGTGGACATCTTTCTGGCCTCGCCCTGTGCTACTCTCCTCTTTACTCATTAGGTCTGGCCACCTGGTCACCCCGGGCCTTTGCTTTTCCTATTTCCCTCTGTCTGGAATGTACTTCCCTTCTTCAGATCTCAGCTGAAATGTCATCTCCTCAGAAAGCCCAACCTAATTACTCCCTTTAATAATGGCCCGCTATTTTCTCTAACAGCATCCTGTCTATTTTCTTCAATCTGCCAATACTTTGTTTTCACCCTTATTGTCTTTTTCCCACCTTTCAAAGGCAGCTCCCGGAGAGTAGGGATGGTCCCTGACAGGTTTGCAGTCGTATCTCCAGCATCTTTTCAATGCCTGCACATGGCAAATGGTTCCATACACAGTTATTGAATTAAGTATTTGTGAAATTTTCACAAGATGTATTCACAAGGGCACCTGGCAGTTAATGAAACCTCTGGTTGCTGGAACGGAGCCCAGGTGGAGTAGGAGGCAAAGTGGATCCTAACACCGGTGACAGGGTCCTGCGGAAAGCAGGCATTTTTCGAGATAAGGCCTTCTCCAGGCTCCTCTGGAAAGATCCCCAGGGAGGCATCACTTATTAGGGTGTCTGTTGGGCAACTCCCCAGGCAGCTCACCCCTGCTGAGCTCAAGATCAACTCTGAATCAGTCCCCAGGACAGGGGAAAATCTGTGGCTGTGGATGGGTAGAACTTGCCAGGTTATATAGACCCCAGCCTGTCTGATTTCCTCCACTGTCCCTTCACTTGGCCATCAGAGAAACCCTTAGTGAGCTCAATTCCAAAGTTTGCCCCTGGGAAGTGTCTGGGAGTGACATTGCCCATCTCTAGACCCTCAGCAGAGCGTGGGCATCAGCCTCTATACCTAGCCCAGCTTCCAGAACTGCAGACTGATCCTTTCTCTGGGGGAAAAACTCCTTCCTTTTCCTGGCACCTCCCCTGGGCCGGGAGTGGGATGGAGTGGAGGCATGCAGGTCTCCTGCTCCACTTGGGCTCCATTCCAGTAGCCAGAAAGACCTCATTAACACCTGGACTTGTCCTTTCTGGGATCTGCCCTTGTGAATACATCCTGTGAAAATTTCATCTGCTGAAAGCAATTAAGCCATT